CTTTCCCCTTTAGGACTTCTCCTCCCAGAAATTTGCTGTGTTTTTCTTACTATATCCCCTATTTTATGGATTCGAAGAGGACATAAAAAACTGTCCCTTCTTTAAAAAAAGGCTTTAAAAAAAAAAGACAAAAATCAAGAGAGATTTTAAGAGGTTGGTGGAAAATTATTGCTCATCTTTCTCCATTAGGTGGATAGGAGTCAGAAAGGAGATTTTACGTAAATTACAGTTTTGTGATTGCTCCCACTATAACTGCATGTTTGTGAGTGGACCCTGATAGGGAATCAGTTCCTCACTTGTACACTATAAGTAGTTACTCACCTACAGCACTGAATAAGAAAGCCACACTGAAGACACAAGTAAACAAGTCAGTCCAGTCTAAAGAACAACATTCAGAAAAACAAAGTACCAACACCTTCTCAGAACATGGAAATAAAAAATAACTCCATCAGAGCTACCTTGCCAAGGAGCATATTTAAAGTCCAAAATAGCACCATTCATCAGTGTCTCAAATCCCGTGGCAGCATCACAATCACTTACCACAAGGAAACCATGAGTTTCATACTACTTCTATACATCAAAAGAGTACATGGATAAAATATAGAGATATACAGACAATCGATGAAAATAAACTACTAGGCTTGTTACATCTAAATGAAAAAAAGGGGGACTCTCAGCCTCTGCAAGAAGCAGTTCAGGATGGTGGAAATGGAGAGAGCAATTTACCGGTTGCATGTGAGCAGTGGAGTTTGAGTAGTGGAAGACATTGCTGTGGTAGAACCAGGCCTGAGGGCCCACCTGTAATGTTTGTAAACATGGATTCACAGTGTGAAATTCTGAGAGCTTTCGCTTGAGTCAGAATGTTAAAAACTATTTTTTATGGTACACGTTTGTCCACTGTTATTCTCTAAAGCAAGGCTCAGAGTCCCATAGTTTCTTCTTACACTTGATGATTTACACAGAAACAATTCCCAATATATGACACCATGACCTCATCAAACCCATACACCATATGTAATACAAATGGAGAAATTATGACTAAAAAGAGTAGAGGTAATTGATTTTGGTGAAATGGTGTCCATAGCCATTTACTGGAACCAGGCATGCCCCTTCCGCCTCACTTTTCTTCTTGCGATTTACTTCCTTCGAGATGGGGAGATTTCCCTGCGGAGAGGAAAAAAAAAGGTATTAGCTGTGCTTCAGTGAAGTCTGTTCAGTGGGGTACTCCCTTTTCTTATCCCAAGGTTTCCACAGTTCCCTAGCTTTAGTTCAGAAGTCTACTAAACATGGATAAATCAACTATAAATACTAATGCCACAGGGAGCAAGGGATTGTTTAAAAACCAGGCAAGCCTTGCAGCATCTGAGGAAAACTCTTCACTTGGGGATGAACGCGTGTGTCCCAGCAGCCAAAATGCAGAAGAGTTGAGCCAACAACCATCCTCCACTGCTGAACTGGGGAATTTGGACATTTGTTGCAGCTGGGGAGCTGCAATCATCCCAGCAGAACTACAGGGGAAGAAGCTATGGAGTGATAACCCTTTCTGGAGCTCACCACCAGCTGTACATCCTTACACTACACCTCAAAATTATTTTTCTCACTCCTGCCAAACCAAGCCATTTCTGTGCCCTTCATAACAGCTGGGACAGCTCAGATCTAAAACCATACCACAAACATCGTGCTGTGTGTGCAGCGGTACTGGCATACAAATATGGCTGAAAACGAGCCATTACCTGCTTTGCACGCGTGAAGCACGGAAGGCAGACACGGTGTTTCAGTGTCATGAAGGCAAAACTGATGGCCACAAATCGACAGATGGCACCAAGCCCTTTTGAAAATATAACTCAGTACCAACTTCAGTAACCAAAAAACTAATGTTAATGATATGATCTACCAATAAATTAAGTTGTTTGCTTTTTTTAAACCCCAAGCTCCATTTTATGGCTCCAGTTAGCCTCCAACATAAAAGTACATCTTAGTACATGAAAGATCATCTTATTATTAAGAGAACCTCTGACAGCTTAAATCTCTCATCTTTTAAACACCTTACAGCTTAAGCAGCTAGCATATGCTAATAAGTGACTTTCCCATAGTACTTCATTGAAAAGAGCACTCTAAAGACACTGTAGTATGTTACTTGTCTCTGGACAAGTAAAGAGATGGTGTGCCCTATGAGCCAGCTGCCTAAGATAGATTTTTGTTAACCATACTTCACCATTCACTGGCTGAAGTCTAGGTTCATTCACCATAGTATTTAAATATATGTTTCAGTTTAAGCCTCAGAGGTAAGCCAAAAGGCTAAGCATGTGCTTGAAGTACTTTGCTGATGCTATGTCACTCTGGGATCTTAAACAAAAAGAATTTGTTTAGCTAGTGATATATTGTAAATTATGGGAAAAAGATCTGTGGTTTTTGTGTTTAAAAGACCAGAATTTTAAAGGTGTTTTATTGCTTTTATTGCTTCGGACATGTTTGCCATATAAGCAGAATGCTGTTAGCTTGTTTAAGAAACTTATCTTCTACAAGTTCAATTTCTCTGATGTGAGAGTTGTGAATTTCTGAATCAGGAATTAAACACATAGCAGTTTCACAGCTACCAAGAAAGTGCAATTTTCAGCAATTTTCCTTTCCTGGCTCTTTAAAGCCGTAATTTTCACTGCTGTGTCCATATTTGCTACGTCTACTTGTGCTGGGATTGCAGACACCCCATGGCTCTCCCACTGTCTTTACCACAGTTTACAGGATAAATTCTGCTTTCAGGTAGACGAACTCCCTCCGGGGTTCTGCACTGCACATAGCCAGGAGCAGTTTTCAGGCTGAACACAGAGTAAAATCCTTTCCTGGGGGAAATGCTGCCCTCTCCCTTTGGGGCATCAAGAAATGAAGAAACTGAGCAGACTTCGGTCAGTACACAGAAGGGCTCTGCAAGCCAGGGGAAGAAGTAGGAATAGAAACATACCTTGCATTTGCTAGAGCCAAACTGGGGATTTTGCAAGAGACAACTTCAGAATGAAAAAATAACGTTCAAATTTTAGTGACTGCACAAACATGTTTCCTCACAGGACTGTAGAAAATTCCATCCTCGTGATAATATTTTTGCTTTTTTGTTGACTAAATTTGCTCCTTGTGTATCATTACAGGATATGAGAAGAAAACTAGAAACTTACACATGCAAACAGGCACACTACACAGACCAAAGGTCTGGGCAAATTTCCAAAAGCATTGTGTTGGGCAGTTCCTTTTCAGCTGTGAAAACAATCTCAGTCCTGAAACTGTGCCATACAATCACCAGATAAAAAGTCCCATATGACCCTTCTAGGTCTGGAAATAAATTGTCTTTAAGAAATGTATCCTTTTATATTTGTTGGTTGCATTAAAACAAAAAAGCACTTTTATCTGAAATGAGTTTCAAAAAATCTGATTTTACTTTATTCTTTCAGTAGTTCAAGCTGCTTAGCATTGAGTACATAAAATTGTTGAGCTGAAGGACTAAGCACTTCCTGCAGTCTTCTTCAGCAATTTACCCTGATTAATTTTATAGGATGGATGAAAAAAATTAGATTCCAGAGACATCCAGTTTCTGTTAAGGCTGATACTCTGCTGGAAGTTGAATTGTGTGCAGCTAATATTCAAGATACTTTTGAAAATCAATTGTGAAATAAAATTTGGATTTACTTCTAAAAACTGGTCCTGGTAAGCATATGCCAAATATCTTTTGAAGAATTACATAAAGGCTAGAAAAACATACGTTGTATTTAAAAAGGAAGCATCCAATTACTTTAAAGGAAAAAAAATATAATATTTTTTGACTAGTTGAGAAACAATGATCGCTTTTGATAAACTCATTTTAAGCTCTGTACAGCATAAAAACATGGCTATTCATAAATCCAATATAATGCAGCATTACTAACTATGCTGCACATAGTTCACAGCTTCATTCCTGTGTTTAAGGAGCAACTTTATTTAATGACAAATGACAACTTACTAAAAGCTGATAATGTAAAATTTTGAATAAAAGTCATCTAGTTAATGCACAGCTGATTCACAAAATTAGCAAATTAATTTAATACAAGTATGACCATATATATAGCACATCCATTGTAATCTGGCATTGCTATCAGCCTACTCAGCTGAACTTCTGAAGTACTTTGAATGTTACGAATAGCAGTACTGCCATATATGTTAATTTAAAGATTGGCATGCTGGCACATAAGTCTGCAAATAGGAGTCTGCAAATAGCCCAGCTATAAATTTTAGAAGTTCCTTTATAAAGAATATTATGGGAAATACAGTGTTATCCAGATGGAATAGCAGAGCTTTGTTAACAGGGAGCTGGAGTCTAGATAGTAATTGAAACTTAAGCAAAACAATTTTCCATGTGCTCTCTCCTTTAGTTACCTGACATTTTTTTTTGTCAGATTTTGAGTCAGTAATGAAAGGGAATATGAAAATAAAACATGTACATTCTGTGGTTTTGAGTAACTGTTATATTTTCTTACTCAAATTTCACATGCAGTTTCGTATTTATGAAACCAGCAATGGTAACAGAACAAAACCTTACAAATCTCGTCTGACAAGCCACATCTTCTGCATTTCTGTTGGGGTATTTCTTGTCAAACTCAGATGAAAACTGCCACGATTTGTATGCTTGTTACTCAAGCCAGGTAAAGCACAAGCATAAAACTTAACAAAAGAAAAAGAAAAACAAGACCACCTCCTTCCTCCTCCTGCATTATCATTGACTTTTTCATCTGCATTGCTAAGAGAGAATCAAAAATCAAACATTCAAAACTCAGATGTCAAGCTTGTAAAATCATGAGACAGGCTTAAGAAATATGAGCTCTTGAAAATTAGTATGTTTTCCTTCTGGTATGTAGCCATCAAGAGTCCATGTTTTCTGCAAGCCTGAAGGCTAAAAACATAATTTTAAAATGAAAGCTGAAATCCTCAGTTAGCTGCCTGGCTGAAGGAGCCAAGGCTTTAAGAAAACAGAATACGATGACACTCGTGATGAAATCATGAGAGCTGGCTACTCTCTTGAAGCAGTCATAAAATCCATTGAACTTTCAATGTTTTTTCTTTTTTTCATAAAACTTTCATCTTAGTAAACTGTTTATTAGATGAAAGAAATTCAATAAATAACTTTACCTTGGGAAATCCCCCATCCCCTCGGCTGGTTGGAAAGATTTTCTGGCTTACCCAAATCGTTAACCTTGGTTGATAAACCTGTAGTGACATAAATATATACAATTTCTTACTAACAAAGACAGACTTATTAAATGCAATTAAATGGTGTTCATGTGACAGACCGCATTACTAAAACTGAGAGTCTAATGTCAGTTGAGCTTGGCTCAGAGACCTAGCTGCGTTTTGCGCTCAGTACATATTTTTGAGTACCCATGACAACAAGATCTGTCCCTAGAGTGTTTCAACTATATTGTTTATGGCAATTATGGCAATCTGCATTCAACAGGCTTTTTAAAAAGAGCATAGGATGGATTTTTTTAAAATCTCTTTAAGAAATTCTGTGTAAGAGGACGTCCATGCTAATAAACTTACTGAGGATATTGTGAGACCACACACCCATTCTCTTCTGCCAGAAGTCACTGGTGAAAGACTATTTAACGAAGTTTACCACCTTTGCCAATGACTGCAGGAGACAAGGGCAACACACCTTTGATAATCCTCTCACAATCTACTGTGAACTAGTACTTATTACTTTCTAAGATCATTGACATAGTTGTAATTTTGTGTTAGCACCCTGTATTTTAGACATTAAAAGAATTCCAGCACATTATAAAAGATATACAATAAAAGAGCTGGCAGCAAGATTTAACAGTTAACATACTGGTCTATGACTGCTATAGGAAAATTTTCCTGCAGAAAATGGGTAAGATCCAAAGCTGACCACTGATTACAGTGGGAAGGTAGAGTGAATAAATGCCAGACTAATACACCTCAGTTACAGTGATTTTGAGCTGGAAACCTCCTGTGCTTCAGTTTCTCAACTTCAGGATGAAAATCAGAGCATGTCTTCATCTCGCTGTCATTAATCACCGAAGTGGTCAGGTACAAATTGCATACGATGCTGAAGATCTTAAATTTATTTTCCTGCTGGGTCTGCCTCCTGGACCTTTGAGGTTTTCTGAATTGAACTCCTTCTGCCTGAATGTCAAACTGTCAGTGTTTTGAGCTGAGAATTATAAATTATAAATTTGTTTGCACTTTGGGAATCAAACCTTGCCTTGTCATTTCAATTCCTGGTGGACCAGCTTTACTCACCTGCCTACTATTGTATTTATATTGAAACCTGAGGAATGTTTTCATTTCTGTGGAGTTGCATGCTGACTATTAGTTGTCACAACAGGACTAGATGTCACTTGGAGAAATTATCAGATTACTTGAATCATCTTTCCAAGAGAAAATCCTGAACTCTACTATAAAAGTAGGAAACAGAAGAGGTAAATTTAAAACACAGAGCCTAAGGCAGTGCCTGCTCTGATACATTCTCCCATGGTTTTCTGCAGTACAAACCACAGTGCTTTCTACTGATTAAAGCATCAGATTTTATGTTGTATTTTAGATTACTACACGATCCCAGGCAAGCTCTCTGGGTATGGCTGGCATAGAGTAACTAATACACAGCACAGGGCACTCTGTGAATTCATCAGTTAATATTCACATTGAATATTTGAGATACTTGAATGAAAGACACCAAGTAACCCCTGAGCTCTCCTGTTGCTACTTATAATCACTGATTACCCATCCTGCAACTATGCCTTGGTTTTACTGTGTGATCATATTTTTTCTAGGAAAAGTTATGGTGGGAAACAGCAATAGCAGTTCAGCTCTACCAGAGGACATGCATGCTCAAACCAGCAAAGTATACAAAAATGTGTATTTTCCTATAGGAGGACGGAATAAGCATCTGAATACAGTATTACTCATTATGATGAATATGAGTTTCTATCTTTTCCATGGGGTCTCAGATGTATTCAGGTTAGCTGACAGGCCTTGTCATGCCTATTAATAATTTAATAGGAATAAAATAAGCACCTGCAGTTAAATGACCAAGAAAGAATCCTCAGCTTAAATTCATAAGAACTTAAGAGGGACTGCAGTTTGAGGTTGGATTTTGGGACTGGGGCAGGAGGAAAAAGGGGTAAATTGTAAGATATACTCACAACTATGACCCAGGGTTAAAAAAAAAAAAAAAAAAAAAAAAAAAAAAAAAAAAACCAACCAAACAAACAAAACCCCCTAAAAAAACATCAAAACCCACCACCACCAAAATACCCTACACAACCCTCCAGCTATCTTTCACAGTAATTTTCTTTGGAAAAAAGAGTTCAGTAATGTCCTATTTTCTTAATATCTCTTCAAAAACAACTACTGTGGCCCATACTGGTAGATAACAATCACGTGGACCTACTGCACATGCAGTAACTGTTCTGCTATAACTGTACCAAAGTCCTGAATGGGCAGCCAAAGGACTTCAGGTATCTGCCTTGTGAGCAATGCTGAAAGGCCAGGGAATCATGGTTTGGATCCTGGCTAAGCAGAAGAAGATTCTGGAATGGAAAAAAAGATGCTGGTGTAGAAAACTCCACTCAGGACTTACTACAATCCACTAGGAGAAAAAAAAAAAAAGGATGTCTTGCCATGCTACATGCTTTATAAAATGCAGAAACTACTTAGAAGTTCAAATGTGCTGTAACTAGGGTGTTAGAAAAACACAGCAAGAACTTTTAGTCAGTTACAGCAGCTCAAAACAACTGATATTAATGTTGCAAGATGAGCTCTAGAGAGAGAAGAAGTGCAAAGCAATGCTCCATTACAGAGTAGCATGTAAGGTTTACAACATTCCAGCTGTTCCCATGAAGCAAACACTTCTAAATAAATGCTTCCATTGATACACACTGTATTTTCATTTCTTAGTATTTCCTGTGTGACTATTATGCAAGTACAGGCTTGGCTTAAATAACCAAAGTATCAGATTCAGAGCAGAAATACTGAATTTTAGGGTGGACCGAAAACTAAAGTTACTGTAAGTCTATACAATGCATAAGAGTTGTATGCTGACTCAAATTGATAGCCTCAGTATTTGATAATCATTAGGAAAAAAATCAAGCTAGTAAACTTCATCCATAAGTGGTCAGAGGGGATCACCCCTAAACATCTGACTAACAGCACTACTACTCTTGGAAGCCTGCCTTCCTGGCAGAACATGTGATACACAAAACCATTCACTCCCGCTTTGAGAAGTCGGAGGAAAGAAACCCACTGGTCTGGGAAGTGCTGTCTGAGGCAGTGTCCTACAACAACAAGCAATTCTGCCTGAAACATCAAGGCCAACTTGAAATAGGGAATTATGATCTATGAAGAATATGTTTTCAATTCTTTAGCTTCCATTCTCTTGAAAAGATAAAAATAATAAAAATTAAGATTAAAAATCAGAAAAAGCAAAGGTGGAAGAAGATAAATGCCCAGTCTATTTACCAGCTCTTACAGCATTCAGAATCCAGAACAACTTACTGCTACTTTTTTTTTTTTGCAAAACCAGGATTTCTAGAATAAGCTTTTCTTTTCTCCTCTGCCCAACAAACCAAGAAACTTTTTTTTTGCTATTGCAAAGGCTCTGTTTGACCAGCATTTGAAAACTCTAATGCCTATTCTTCCATTTTAAGCCATGTCCTCTTCAAAAGCAATAGTAGGAGAGCACAAAATTTTGCCTAGCTTTAAAACAGATACATAAAATAATTTTAACAGACCTGGACTAAATCTACTGTATCAGTCACATCAAAATGCTAAAATTAATTTCTTGCTACCCACTCTTCATTCTTACTCACTGACAGCATCTTTCAAACATTCAGATACACTCATCAAGAGGAAAAAACCCCAGATTTAAGGCATGCTAAACTTAGTAAAATGAACACACTCCTGTTAAGCATTCCCAAGGTTTTTATAGTTAAGAAACAAGCAAGAAAGCTCCCTGAGTTTTGGTGGGTTTGGGTTTGTTGTTTTTTTTTTTCTTCATGTGGACCACAACTGAATTCCTGTTCTTCAAGTCTCATTCAAGATTCATAGAAGTTGAATTCAACTGTAGTCTGGATTTCCAAACCACAAGCTTAATGAAGAAGACTAGCTGCTCTGAGTACATTAACAACCACCGTTGGAGATGTTTCAGGTAACTTCTTTATCATCTAAACTAATTCGGGGTGGGGGGGAGAAATGAAAACAAAAAGGAAATTATGAAAAGTACTCTAGAAATTCCAAATTCCAAATAAAAGGTAACCATCTCTAGCAATGCTGCACTAGCCTATCTAGGAGAGGGTTTTTTTTTATAAAAAGGAAAAGTTTTACTGTATGGATTAGCAGTCCAATAGCAGACACAGATGGCTGTGTACTGAGGAACAGAGGATAAAAGTATGTGTTGAAGATAAAGAAAGAAAGGTGCATGCTCTTCCCCTCTGCAGCATGAAAACTAAGCTTGTGGCTTTGTGAGGACTGAGGCCTCTGTGTGTCTGTAGTGCCTAATCCAGAACAGAGAGAGGCCATCCTCCTACCATGTTCTCCTGGAGAGACGAGCTGTATAGCCAGAAAGGAACGCTGCTCCTGATTTCTGTACCTATATTTCTTTAAAGTAGTTTGGGGATTTTTCACCACCATTGCTTTGTGTTGCAATGACACAAATCAATGGTATTAAGGCTTCTAGAGGAGAAGTTGTAGATCATTTCCTTTGTGGCTGGTCTCAGCATCACTGAAACTGCCTAGCAGATTTTCTTTCCAAATTGATTCCTGATCCACCTTCTTTAGCAAAAAAATTATAACATAGTCACCCGCTAAGTTGAAACAGTTATAACTTTGCAGGGTTTTTTTTTTTTAAAGTTTCTTAGTTACCAGCTGGTTTGAACTGTAGCGACTTTTCACAGCACATTCTACCATGCACTTCTCAAGCCCCCAAATGCCTCTCACTGCAGTAGAAAGTTCTCTTTGTGACTAACAGCCCACCATCACAATCCAGATGTATAAACAGAAAATCTTACTGCACTACTGCTTGAACAGCAAAGAAAGCATTCTGTTAAAAAAACTAATCAACTTTAAACAAAACTGGAAGGAAAGCTTGTGCTGGGATCAATGCATTTACTTCATTCAGTGCAAGTGGTAAACTAATGCTCCCATCTGCAGTAGTTTATTTTTAACACCGTGAGTGGAATATTATGAAA